GAAGATGAAAAAATACCTGAGCTGTTGTCAAAGAAAGCTGATGATGTTTCTTCTGGTGTTGAATTTATAGATGATGAGGGATCTGTGGAAAGACTCTCTGATAAGGCTGAGATCAATGGAACATCATTTGTGGAGGAAACACGTTACCTTCAACAGGCCCCTCTTTCAAACTCTCAGCCACAGTCACTGGAAACAGAAATTATAGAGAAGAATGACCCAAAAATAGATGAAGGTGAATCATCGTCTTCAGATGATGATCAAGCAGTATCATCATCATCACATTCTGTGGTGACGTCAAGTGACAGTGACTTGTCAGAAGCAGCTATACCAAATGATTCTTTTCAGGCTATCCAGTCAGATGGAATAAATGATGATATACAAAATAAAGAAGTGGCTCCTGGTACCTTTTCAATAACTGGTTCCAAGGATGATGGCATTGCAGTCATTGAAGATGGAGTGTCACAAGTAGAAGCTAGAAATGAACCAGAAAGCGTAACTGTTCCAGTCTTAGAGAGGACATTGTCAATATCATCGACAAGCACTCAAACCTCATGTGAAAACCTCCACTTAGCAAAGGATCAAAGCTTTAATACCTTTGGAAAGTTTGAGTATGGAAATCTAGACAGTATTCTGAGTGGAAATGAAAAAGTATCATCAAAGCTTCCTTTTTACTACCAGCCTCAGATCGTCATGCATGGGGAGAAACCCATCTTAGTCCTTCAACCTGTTCCATCAACGACTCCTTCATCAGACAATAATGACTGTGTTGCAGGAGTAGAAAATGGTGCAGTAAAGGCTTCAGTACCAATCATTTTACCTTTAGCCTCACCTGTTATTGATAAAGCAACAAAAGATGCTATTTTTCAGCAAATAAATGGGACAGCTGCATCTTCATTTGAGGAGGAGGAAGAGTGTTACACTAGAAATTCTTCTAGTGAGAGTTTCTCCAGTGGTGTTTCACCATCAGTCATGGCGCCCGTGTCACAACAGAATGGCACAGATGGTGATATGCAGTTAAATGCCACAGGGCATGATAAGCCTGTTTACCAGAGCATTCCAGTGGCAGAAAAATGCGTTGAGACAAGTGAGAGTGAAGAAACGGAGAACTTACCAGAGTGGGTACCGGCATCTGAACTTGATAAGGCATTCTCTGCAGCTGCAAAAGAAACTTTGGAATCCACCAAAGAACAAACCCCAGTTACACTTACATTTCCAATTGTTAGCTTGCCAAGTACAAATCCTTTTGCAAAAGACTTGGCAGCTCAGGAATATGGATGCAGTGATGTCAAAGAAGATAGTTTGTTAAACTTTGGCCCTGAACAAATGCAACAATATTCTTTATTTGGACCTCCCAGTTCACCAAGCTTGTCACAGGGTGCAAGACCCAAAACATACCAAGATCCAGGTCATGTTGGCAGTGCAACAAACCCATTTGCTCCTGATTTAACTCCTAAGAAGCAAGGAAGAAGGCGAGAACAAAAGCCAGCAGATGCCACTGAGGTAGTCATTTCAGCAGAAGTGCATCCATCTTTGGGGCAGCCTACAGAAATTCACGGTACACAGCCCAAGTCTCAGAGACACAGAATGTCTAGTGAGTCCATGGTTACACTTATTGAAACTTCCTGTGCTGACACATCCCTTAGCTCTTTTGAATCATTGGGTGTAGATGAAGCACAGAAAATAGCCCAAGTAGAAATGCCTCAGCCTCAGCCTCAGCCTCAACAGGAAAGTAAGAAGACCAGCCAAGCCACAGGGAAACCAAAACTGCGTGTGGTAAGTTCAATCTGAAGCTAACAAATTATGTGTCTCTTTTGTTTATTAAGCTAGTTCTTGATCTTGTACAGGCCAAGCAGAGTTTGGTGTACACTGTACCAATCAACTTTGGGCATTACTTCCTGACACAGCCCTCGTGCTTGGCTTAATAACACATACATGTAATTACTGAAATGCTACCTGTGAAAGTTTTGTTTTATGCCAGTTTCCCCTAGTTTAATGTTTGTTTCTTCATCTCTCAGCTGTTTCTTTGTTGTTTAGGAAAAATAACATCTTGACCACTTGAAAGAATATATTTTTCATTCACCCTAATGCAAAGATTTTTTTCTCACCTCTTGCTTTGTAATAACTTTTTAATTGTTGCTACTCATGCATGTAATTACTTAACACCATGGAAATTAGCCTTTTCTTTATGTCATATACCAAACATGAGAGACCAGGTTTTACCACATTACTAAACACCAAGAAGAAAGTTGAATATAATTATGACATGCAGTGGTGTATTTTTGATGAACTTTGGGCAGTTTGGAAATGTGGTAAAACAGTGTTGCAACAGTTTTATGTATCTTTTTGAGGAAGGTGCGTACTAAATACAAAGGTATTTTTGCAAGATTATGACCATGGGCAAAAAGTACATCTTTTATTTAGCAAGGGCTATTAAAATTCAAAATGAAAACTGGAGATAATAAAATTAGTGTCCCTAACAGCTCTCCTCTGGTTTATTCAAAAACAGTCTAATAGCTTTTCCATACAACGAGAAACTAATTATGTGTTGAATAGCCTTGCCACTTCCATTTCATAACATAAAATGTACGAATAACCAGGCATTTTTAAAAGTTAAATGAGTTGTTTTCAATTCATCTTTTTTGAAACTTCTGCAGTGCCTGTTACATTTGTTGCTGTCACCTCCCCAGTGAGCCAAACATTTGTGTCTCTCACCCTCGATTAGCGCACGCACTACGCCAGCTGCAGATACATGTTTACAGTTAGATTTCAGTATAGTTTTGTATGCTGCTATTCTGGTGTTCTCGTTTTTGTACAGATTTGGTTACAATAGTAAAATTTTGCTTTCATTTTAGTTGCGCACTTGGTAGGGTAGTTGATTATGTCAATGTCAACTGTAGTACACGCATATGGTGTAAACCATACCTTGTGTGATGCGCAGAGCATATGCACACCAGCAAAAGTAGGCACCGTCCTTAATCAAATCTTAAAGTAAGGAGAAAAGAGAACAGTAAAATTGTAAGAATCTTAAAGTGCCGCTGAAACGAAATTTTCGTACGCTCTTTTATTGGCCCAATCTATAGTTTCAAACGTGCTTAAAATAATGGTGAACTTTATTTCTGTCAAATCCTA